GAGATGTGATTCTGACTTTTGGCTACTTTCTAGATTTTTTTTTCTTTTTTCCCCCCCATGTTGCTGTGTCCATGCATGTGGCTACTTTCTAGATTTTAAAACCATGACATTCCTCTCTGACACTCAGTTCCTCATCTGCAAAATGGGCATCATAAAGCTCATCTCATAGGACTGTGGTGAAGATGAAATTAACTGATATATTTATATTATGTCACTTAGCACATCAAAAGGTTTAAGTAAGACAATTCCAAAAGTTATGAATTCTGTGTCTTTTTTCTTTTTTTCCACTGTGTTGTCCAGGCTGGAATGCAGTGGTATGAACACAGTTCAGTGCAGCCACCACTTCCTTGGGCTCAGGTGGTCCTCCCATCTCAATCTCTTGAGTGGCTGGGATTATAGATGCATGCCACCACACCTAGATAATTTTCTTATTTTTTTGTAGAGGTGGGGTTTCGCCATGTTTCCCAGGCTAGTCTTCAATTCCTGGGCTCAGGTGACCCACCTGCCTTAGCCTCCCAAAGTGCTGGAATTAAAGGTGTGAGCCAACGTACCTGGCCTGAAATCTCTTTTTTCTTTCCTGCTTCTTTTTCTTTTCTTTTTTCTTTTTCGAGACAGAGTCTTGCTTTGTCGTCCAGGCTGGAATGCAGTGGGGTGACCTCGGCTCACTGCAACTTTTGCCTCCCAGGTTCAAGTGATTCTCCTGCCTCAGCTTCCCAAGTATGTGGGATTGCAGGTGTGGGCCACCTTGCCTGGTTAATTTTTGTATTTTTGGTAGACATTTTCGCCATGTTGGCCAGGCTGGTCTTGAACTCCTGACCTCAGGTGATCTGCCTGCCTTGGCCTCCCAAAGTGCTGGGATTACAGGAGTGAGTCACTGCACCCAGCCTGAATTCTCTTCCTTTTACTAATTAAAATATTCACATCGTAGTCAATGTTGGTTGCCTGGATGGCTTTTCTCTTGTGCCGTAAAAGGATCTTTATTTTGTTCACATATCTAGCACCTCCACCAAGTAGCCCATGTGTCTCAGGGTAAACTAACCAAATCAGAACTCTAGCAGTGACGTTTGATTATTTTAAGCTTCATTGTACTATTCTCCTTGCTAACAATGGGTTCAGGAACCCAGGGCTAAGCCAATCAGATCATGACATTTCCGCTAAGAACAAGGAAATGGCATGGGCATTTGACCCAATGGGATATAAAGATAAGTTGGTGGGTACTTCTAGAAAAGGATGCAGTTATAGGGAAATATATATGTTTCCAGACTGTGAAGCCCAGCACTGCCACAGTAAGGAACACATCTAAAACAGCTACAGAGAAACAGACAACGGGCTACGAGGGTAAGTCAACTGCAAAACGTACCACAATTTTGAATTCCCAGTTGTTAAACCGAGTCAATTCTTTATTGTTTAGACTAACTTGAATTGAAATTTCTGTTTTGTGTAGCTAAAAGCATCCTAGAATCCTAACAGAACAAATATCTCTAATCACTTTGGTAGTATTTTTTCCAGGCCTTCTAATCTGCACTTGGTGTACATTGGATGCATCCTGACATCACTATCTTCATTTTAAAGTAAGGAAATGGAGCACAGACAAGGAGCGAACACAGAATTTTCTTTTCTTTTTGCTTCTCAGTGATCTTAACCACCCTATCTTTCTTAACCTGATATCTGGTATAGTTTTTTAAAAATCTGTTTTTTAAGATTCACTTTTACTCTTGTTTTACAAATAATCCATGGTCATTATAGAAAAAGTAGAACATACAGAAGCAAAACTGAATATAAAAACAATTCATATTTCCACTTTCTTTAAATTACTGCTGTTAACATTTGGTACATACCTTTTATTTTTAAATTATTTTTCTTTTTCAATTTTTATTTTAGATTCAGGGATATATGTGCAGGTTTGTTACAAAGGTATACTGTGTGATGCTGTGGTTTGGGGTACGGTTGACCCTGTTACCCACGTAGTGAGCATAGTGAGCAGCCCTTGCCCCTCCCTGTCTCCCTCCTCTAGGAGGCCCCAGTGTCTACTGTTCCCATCTTTATGTCCATGTGTACCCAGTGTTTCACTCCCAATTGTAGGTGAGAACATGTGGGATTTGGTTTTCTGTTTCTGCATTAATTTGCTTAGGATAATGGCCTCCAGCTGCATGCAGGTGCTGCAAAGAACATGATTTCATTATTTTTTATGGCTGCATAGTATTCCATGGTATATATGTATCACATTTTCTTCAGTCCACCATTGTTGGGCACCTGGGTTGATTCCATGTTTTTGCTGTTGTGAATAGTGCCACAATGAACACATGGGTACATGCATCCTTTTGCTAGGACAATTTCTTTTTCTTTGGGTTTATACTTAGTAATGGGATTGCTGGGTCAGATGGTAGTTCAATACTTAGTTCTCTGAGAAATCTCCAAACTGCTACTCACAGTGGTTGGACTAATTTACTGTTAAAATTTTGTTTGTGGTGGTTTGTTTTGTGCCAAAAATATCTATCTTAGTAGAAACTGTTTTCACCTAAATATTTAATCTTGTTTCATTTTATTTACTTTAATATCTTCCTCCAAAGTCATTTTTTGTAAACTGCAGAGTCATCTGCATTTTACTGTTGGTGAAATTGATATCATGGGTGTCAAACTGTACTCAGGGAGGTAATGAGTGAAAGGATCAGGGTGTGGGAGAAAAACCCTAAAGCACAGGCATGGTGATAGATGTTGAGGGCACGGTGAATGTATTAGTCTGCCAAGGGTGCCATAACAAAATACCACAGACTGAGGAGCTTAAATAACAGAAATATTACAGTTGTGGAGGTTGCAAGACCAAGATCAAAGTGTGGGCAGGTTTAGTTTTTCTTGCAGCCTCTCTCCTTGGCTTGCAGATGGCTATCTTCTCACTGTGTTCTCACATGACTTTTCTCAGTGTGCAAGCATCCTTGGTGTCTCTTCCTCTTTTTGTGAGGACATTAGTCAGATTGGATTAGGGTCCTACCCTAGTGGCCTCATGTAACCTTAATTGCCTCTTTAAAATCTGTATTTCCAAATACAGTCATGTTGGGGCTAGGACTTCAACATATGAATTTTGGAGGACTGCAATTCAGCCCCTAACAAAGGGAAATAGTGGGGCTCTGGTGATCTGGAGAATGAGCATTCTTTTGTCCTTTTGAAGGAGACCCTCCACTATTTGGCTCCCATTAATTAGTGCCACAAGGGAGGAGGACTTGGCATTGTCAGGTCTGCCTTTTCAGTTCACATTTGGAATACAAGTTTTTAAATAAAGTCTTCCAATTTCAAAAATTGTCACCTAATAACAAAAATACGTGTCTGTGGCCAGCTGTCTGTCTGTGAAGTCTGGATTAAATAGATAGTAATTGCCGATTCACAACAATGGTTTGTTCTGTTAGCATTTTCTGCTCTTCTCATGCGCTCTCTCCTCCTCTAGGTACTATTTCACTGCAAATAGTCACAGGATGTTGGAGTTGGACTCAAGTAGTAGCCCAGCCTCAGTCAGACATGGGTCAGAAGTCACTTAGTTGTCATTAGTTATCTTCTGAGTCCCTGAGATAGAATTAAGTCAAGTTTTGAGAAGTCAGCTATTCTTCAATAGACTTATTAACTGTAATTGGTTCCACTAAGATAGAAACATATAGTTATATTTAAAGAATCAATAGTCTCAGTCAATTATTAAAGTAGGTCAATAGCTACTGAGAGTCCAAGGACTAATACCATGTATGCAGTGATCCATACCCTGCTTTAATTATAATTGGTCTAGGTCTTTAAAGCACAGGGCACTGTCTAGATGAAGTATGTAATGACTCCCTAATGATGAAAAGTAATGTGTATATACAGAAACAGCAAGAAAGAACCAAATGACTAAAAGAGAAAAAAAAAATAGCTGATCACAGAAAATGCACTTTCAAAGAATTTGAAGGTTGAGAAGGTATTTCTTTCTTTTTATATCAGTTTAGTGGTCTTGACTGAGTTCCAGTGCTTCAGGGTTTTCAGGTACCAGAAATCCAACCAGGTAGGTGGTTAGAGAGAACAGTGTAGAAGATCCAACAAAAGGCAGTTGACGGTTGCTCAGGTAAGGATAATGATCATGATGATGTGAAGGAGAAGAGCAGACAATTTGAAAACAAGTGAATGTCGTGTGATAGGACCTAAAAGAATAAGTAGAGTTCAGGACTCTGAATCAACAGATAGGATTGATAGAGAAAGCCTTAGTTTGGGAGAAACTGTAAGAAGTGTTCAGTCAGGACTAGAGAATTAGCCTGTTTTGTTTTTGGTTTTGGTTTTGTTTGAACTGGAGCACCAGAAGAGAAGAAAAAGCACTAGGAAGTTTGACTTGATGCCCAGACCAGACAAGGACAAGAGCTCGGGAGAAGGATCTGATCTTGCAGTTGGAAGGAAAGGAGGCTAAACAGTTTTCAGGAAAAGCAGGCAGAAACCAGACAAGTGATTACAAAGTCATTGGTTGCCAAGTGCAAAATAGAACCTGTATTGTGACCATGGCTAAAAGACATCACACCACTGGAAATAGAAATGAGTAGCTCCAGAGGGACATCTCTTCTCCATTGTGGCAGAAATCATGATCCTTCCCGAATATTCTATTTGCTTTCCCCATACTTCCCAGGTTCCTTCCAATTAGAATCATGTGACTCCTTTTGGTCATTGAAAAGAGAGCAAAAAATAGCATGTGTCTCTCCCAAGTGGAGGCAGTGAAAAGTGCACGCACTTTACCCCTTGTAGTGGATGCTATGATATGCGGCCCAGATCTGCTCTTCAGGACTGAGGCTCTGATTCCTCCCATTGCTGACAGCTCTCAGCTGAGTTGCTCTCCTGGAATTATCCTCAGTAGAGGAGAGCCACTTTACTCAAGGTCATAACCTCTCTCTGGGGTCAAGACAGTCAAATGACTGGTTAATAAGGGATAATAAAGGCCCAGGTCCCTTGCCTTAAGGTGAGACAACTGTGAAGAACCAGTGTAGCTCCAGGACTCCCTGTTAGATTGGCCAAGACCTTTGTTGTTACAACATAGTTCAACAATTGTTTGCTCAACCATTTTTGCGCTCTCCCTGGCAGATGTCAATCAGAATTCCCTCCCCAATAACCTTTCTGCACAGAAATCTTTATCTTGATCTGTTTTCCAGGTAGCCTGACCCACGACACCTTCCTTCTACTGATGTTTAGATCATGTAGCTATGAGATGGCAAATAATGTTACAATCTGGATCTGTGAGTGAAACAGAGCCTTTTTGGACCTGCAGTATACATGCTGCATGAATCAGCAATAAGCCTTTATTGTACTAAGCCACTGAGATTTGGAGATAATTTGCCACTAACACCTAACCTAGCCTATATTGACGACTAATTACACTCACTGTGTCACCCATGTCCTTGATCCTCCTGGTGGGCTCCTCCTGCCAAGTAGCATCTGATCAATTGATTTCAGGCTACTTTCAAGATAGCCTCACTGAGCTTTGCCATCCCAAGATAAGAGCACAGAGATTAAGTAACAGAATCCTTATATATTCAGTATTTCCCTAAAACTTGAAATATTTTTGACTATAATTTTCTCTGAGAGTAACATAATGGATCTCTTTAATAGATGAGACCTCTTGAGGCCAATGAAATACAACAAGGCTCCTTTATTTCTATTCCACACTTTGTTATTCTCCCAAAGCTGAGGTGGGAGGACAAGTGGAGAAGAGGAGAGGAATAAAGAAATTGGCCTCTTACTGTCTTATACTTGTGGAGTCTGCCAGTCAGAATTTCTTTCCCAAGTAATCCATGAAGAGAGGACTGGTACCGCATTAGGAAACCATGTTCCCCAAGTTTTGTAGTAGGACTAAACAGATGTTCCTGAGCAGTACATGTGGGACATTATGACTTTATGTATCAAATTTGACCCTTTTATCACATAAAAGAAGAAATCAGGAAAAACTTACAGTTTTATTAGAGTGTTCCAGAAAGATGCAACCATCTCTCTTTTACCCCAGTAGTTACCTCCTAATCTTCCTTGTACAGTCCATTGTTCAAGCCAAGTTGTATTCTCTGAGAAATTCCATTTCTTCCCCTTAGGAAGCATCACTTTTACGGGCAGAAGTCTTGGCTTTTTGGGTCTTCTAATGTTTAATAAACCCTTGGACTTTTGTGTTTTTATAGGTGTGAACTGTCACTCTAAAGCAAGTGGGTGGGGAAGCTCAAATCCCTAAGTATATCCTATAATTCCAGTACAGTCTCTCTATTAAAGACTTATAACTAGTTTCTACATGAGCTACTTAAAATCAAGGACATCTTGCCTGAAGGAGTAATGAAGAAGTTACAGTCCTCACATGAATGGAATTTTGACTCTATTCCTTGCAAAATAATAACCTTACAATTATTGAGTTAAGGAGTGTTTGACCTCCCCTTCTTCCTGATGACATTATAAAGGTTTGTATTTGTGTCTCTGAGGTATGGGAAACAAGCAATAACAAACCCAAAGAGATTGACTTTTTTAAAAATGTTCAAATCCTTCCTTTAATGAGGTTCAGGGAATTAATTCTGTTTCTGGAACAGAAAGGCACATAACAGAGAAAGAGAAATGGTTTTGGCTACAAAATCTTCATTTTTTCCCTTGGCTCTTTGGCAAATTTAGAAAAAACTGTAACTTATATTTATTAAGCAGTTGCTATATGCTAGGAAGTTTACGTACTACCCTCTATTATTAAATACTCATGACAACTCTGTTTTTTAGGTGGGAAAAACTAAAGATTAGATCTCTTAAGATCATACCATTATTAACAGTACTCAGCATAGTGAGGGTTTAAACTCAATCTCTTTGACCTCCTGACCTTCTACCCAGTTCTTTTCATTGGTGTCTCTATAATGAATAAAAACTGTAGAAATTACTAATCCTCTAGAGATTTCATTGTTGATGTCTACACTAAATGGAATTCCAAGTTGTTTCCAAACGTGAGAATATACTGTTAGAATTATTCAACTCTGAAGCAACTCACTCTAAAACAATCTTAGCATGTCATTGGACAGATGAATTGTACAGTAAGGGATCCAGAGAAAAATATGAGAGCCCTGCCTAGACAAGTATTATCAGCAGCATAATAACTTTCCCTTACTATGCCTTCATTATGTGGCTGGCACTGTGCTAAAGGGTTCTTATGAATTATCTCATTTACTTCTCAAGACAATCCTAGCAGGTAATAACTATTATTATTTTATAATGGGAGAAGTTAGACCTGGAGAATTTAATTATCTTGCCCAAAGTAATACAGGCTAATAAATGGTAGACCCAAGAGTTGAACTTGAGTAGTCTGATTCCAAATATGTGCCCTTAGTCACAAGGAGCTTATGTGAGATAACTATAAAAGAAAGTCCAAGACAAAAGTAAGATATTTGTTGGGTAAGTATGGAGAACAAAATAATTCCAAGAGAGTTGAAGGATTTTGGATAAGGGATGACGGATAAACTGACAAGTTTGGAACTGCTTATTTTTCCTTGCACATTAACTGAGTCAGGTCATTGATCTTTTGAAAATGTTTCTCCTATTAGGTGTCAAAAAATAGAGGATTAACTATAAGCAGACACTCAATTTCCTGAATCAAGATTTTGTTGGAAGGGTAGGTCTGTTACAGTTGGTTATTGACTGACAACTCCAGAGCCAACCAAGCTCTTTCACGTCTTCCAGGGAACTAACAACTGTGAGTGTCTAGTAGTAAGCATCAAGAGCCTTAACCCTGGTGACAGAAGATGAACACTCCCATTAGGGCTCCACTTCAAAATGAAGTACTCTAGTTCTTAGGCAGAGGACTAGAAGGAAATTAGAGGACTATGTCACTTGTAACATTTTTGCCACCATACTAATAATGGACTTCTGTTCTAAAAGTCTAAGCATGCTTAATTTGACTTCCCAGAGCGTGGAAAACTATGTGTAGCTATGTCTGCAATGACAATATATTTTTTCAAAAAGATCTCAAAATGTAACTGGCTTCCAGCAACAAAAGCACCTTACTTCTGGCTCAAACATCTATGAATTGGCTGAGGTCAAACTTAGACTTGGCTAAGTTAGGCTTAGCTCCAAGCTGTAGAGTTGGATCTAGGTGACCTCCATGTGTCTCTCATTTGCCTTGATCCAGCAGCTACCAAGGTGTTTTCTTCTCACCTATAAAGACAGAAACAAAAGAAAGGAAGTTAAACTATGTAAGCACAGTTCACATTTCTGTTTATGCTACTTCTATTAACATTGTGTTGGTCAGGGCAAGTCACATGACTAGGCTTAAAGTCAAGTGGCTGGAAAGTACACTCTACTCATCATGATGGCGCGGGCAAATTGTGAGGAATTACAATCACTCTGATAAAATCTAACATTCATAGATGGATCGGGAGAAAATAAAGTATCAAAATGAGTGCGAAGAGCTGTAACTGAAAACCATCTTAGACACAAATTAATTGTCCCCACCAATATTTTATCTTTCTTTGCTGCTGGCTGTCTGTATATAGGAGTTTCACATGGCTATCTCCTTCAGGGTCAGCATTTAAAGGTAAACTCTATGGAAAACATATTCTAGCACAGAAAATCTCGGGTTATAATGGGATTTCTCAGAAATGGAATCCAGGGATATGGTAGCTTTGAAGGAAAAAACAGTATGTGATTGGCATTCAGCTTTGTCTGGGATCTAAAAAGCTGTGTTGTGGTCAAGTAGAAAGTCAACAGTGGTCATTTACATTAGTAGGAAATGAGAAACCATTTCATAGAGAGCCAGAACTTGATGCCCAAGGATGAGGTTAAATTATGAAGCCGATGATAGGTATTTAATTAACTAGTGTGGACACCGATGACCACAAAAATGTGTTAGGAAAGCACATTTAATCTGTCTTGGGATATGTTTTCCTCTCTCAGCCTTCATTTGAGGTGGCTCATCATTTTTAATTCCTTGGGCTGTCTTTCCTTTTTCTGTTCTGTTCAAGCAACTCTAGCTAAGCCTGTATGATATCATACTACCTTTCAAGCTGGCTTCATCTTTTTTTTTTTCTCATCTTCTGCATTTTCCCTGTGTTATTCACAGATCTTATTTGTCTTGCTGTATTTTGTACTCTCTGTGAGTTTCTGGAACTCCAATCTTAGATTTTTTTTTTTTTTTGATTCAGGAACTTCTGACATTTCTACCTCATTATATGCTGCTCTTAGCAACTGATGATACTTTTATCTGGCTCAATGTCAACTGTACTCTCTCATAATAGGGTAGGTGGCTTATTGTTCCACACTTCTTAGGCAGATCTATTGCTTCTTTTTAATGTTTCCTGGTTCCGGGTCTAAAAATTTTTATATTCATTTTAGACTTTTAAACAGTTTAAGTATGATTTATGTCTTCCACTTCTTCCTGTGCAGGTATCTTACCCTGAAGGGGAGATGGGGAGACAGGGAGGAAAGAAAGAAAGTAGAGGGTGGGGGAGAGAGAGATGAACAGAGAAGAAGAAAGGTAAATGTGTAAAGTGGGAAAGAAAGGGAGGAAAAAGGGATGATTGAATGGAGGGAGGGAAGGAGAAAGGGAGGAGGGACAAAGGAAGGAGAGAGAGAGAATGGAGAGAGAGAGAAAGAGAAACAGAGAGAAAGCGTAAGGCAGAGATCAAGAAAGCCAAGAAAGAACTTGGAAAGGTGAGAAAAATTGCATAGGTAGCTGATACCTAAAGGCTTTGCCATGAGGATCCCCTGACGCTATGATTGTTTTATGTGCAAGATTACCCCCTACTATATAAATATAAGGGAGGGAGAGTGCTAAAGAAACAGAAAACTGATCTTACAAATTAGAAGAAACTGTGAAAGTTTGTGAACATTTAGTACAATGCAGATGCCCAGGTTCCCCCCCTTGATTCCTAGAGTCCAGTATTACTATTAGTAGACCTCTTTCAAATTAGAAAGCTACAGCCTTCCAACCATGCACATTAATAACCCAAATACTTGCTGAGAACTGCCACTTTGTAAGTATTCCATCACTGCCTCTCAAGTTCTGACAGTGAAAAACATGCATATCTCCCTCATCTCCCATTTCTATAAACTAGATTTGCCAGTGGCAGCTGCCGAGGGGTGAGAAGCCTATAAACTCAAGGTGTTTAAGACAAATTTGTTTTCCTGTCTGCTAGCTACTGAAAAGACAATTTAAAAATTATGCTTAAGTAAACCCAAGAAAGCCTTCAACACCTATAGGTAATACACCTGTTTTTCCAAGGACCCAGTGTGCACATAGACCCTATGATTTTACAGATGGTGGTGGGATCCTGTTGAGTCCAGATATTGGAGGCAGAGCTCGTATTTGGCTGACTGTATTAGGTGAGGTTGGTTGGTAGGTGGATCCTGATATTGCACCCAGTGCTGGAGGTAGCACATGGGTGTATCCATGTGTGCCATTCCAGGTAATGAGCTAAAAGTCCTCTCACCAAGGTGTTATGTAATCTTCTTCTTCCCAAATCGACTTGAACATGCATGCATTCTTATCCTACTTGTCCTCACTGCATATTTCACCGTGTTGGTGTCTTCCTCCTTGAAATATTCTCTTCTTTGGTTTCTATGACATTACAGTCTTTGGGTAAACTTCCATTTTATTTCCTTTCAGGTTTTCATTTGCTCCACTGTATTTGTGTTGGTATTCCATTTTCTAGCCTCTTTGGCTTTCACTGTACAATCTACCTAGGTGGGCTTTTCTAATTACCCAACTTTAAATACATACAAAATTCTCTAAGTATTTTTTCTAGCCTCAGATTCCACAGGTCTTGACTTATATAACTGACAAACTACTCAATAGTTCAGCATGGGTTTTCCTTAGCAACCTCAAACCCAGCTGAATTTTCATCTCCCATCTCCCCAAACAAGATTCTTTTTTATGGGGGCAATGGTGGATTCTTATTTCAGAAATGGTGCCAACATTGACTACTTGCCCAAATCTGAAATCTGGACTCCTGCTTCATTCACATCCCAATACCCAGTCATCAGAAACTCTTATGTTTGTACTTTTTAATATCCCTTGAGCATTTTCACTTCTCTCCATCCCCACTACTGCTTCCATTGGTAGTCATTATCTCTGATGACAGTCTGGATTATGGCAAGGCTCAGCTGGCATCACTGTATTCATATACTAGCTGTTTGCAATCTATACTTAACACTGCAACCAGAATGAGCTTCCTACTACACAAATCATTCACACCTCTTTCCTCCTCCTTTGTACTCTTATGGGCTCCACATTGCCCTTTCTGTAAAGTCCGATACCCCAGCATGACTTACGAAGCTCCGTCATAACTGACTCCTACTCACTTCCTCATGCACATTGCTTACCTCTCCCTTTTTCACACCCTACAGTCTGGCCACACTTACCTCTTTGGGTTTTCCTGGACATGCCTTGCTGCCTTCTGCACTTGGGATTTTGCAGTTGTTCTTTCTTCCTGAAACAATCTTGATAATTCCTAATGATTTTTTTTTTTTTGAGACACATTCTCGCTCTGTTGCCCAGGCTAGAGTGCAGTGGCATGATCTTGGCTCACTGCAACCTCTGCCTCCTAGGTTCAAGCGATTCTTCTGCCTCAGCCTCCCAAGCTACAGGCACCTGCCACCATGCCCAGCGAATTTTTGTATTTTTAGTAGAGATGGGGTTTCACCATATTGGCCAGGCTGGTCTCGAACTCCTGACCTTGTGATCCACCTGCCTCAGCCTCCCAAAGTGCTAGGATTACAAGCATGAGCCACTGTGCCCAGCCAACTCCTAATACATTTTTAAGACTAGCTTTATCTACTAACTCCCCTAAGAAATCTTCATTTACTCATTCATTTGTGCATTTACTAAATATTTATTAAGGAGCCTTTCTGTGCAAGGAGCTTGTCTTTGTCAGTTTGGGCTGCTATAAAAAACTATCATAGACTGGGTAACATAAGCAAAAGAAGCCTATTTCTCACAGTTCTGGAGACTGAAAGTCCTGGATCAAAGCACTGGGAGATTTGTTGTCTAGTGAAGTCTTGCTTCCTGGTTCCTAGGTGGTCATCTCCTTGCTGGGTCCTAACATGGTAGAAAGGGTGAGAGAGCTACTTTGGGTTTCTTAATAAGGGCACTAATGCCATTAATGAGAGTTCTGCCCTTATGATCTAAACACATACCAAAGGCTTCACCTCCTAATCCCATCACATTGGGGATTAGGATTTGAGAATATGAATTTGGGGAAAGCACATTCATTCCATAGCAGAGTTGCTAAATGCCTGGGCACTGGGTTTGTTGCCAGCCCTTAAGATGTCCCATGGCAGCCATACTTAGCTCTCTATATTTGTCAAATTGCATTTAATTTGTTTTTTTATGTCAATGTCTCTCCCACTAGACTGAGAGTACTCTGGGCAAAACCAGTGTCTTACTCGTTTTACTGATTTTTGTTTTTGCAACACCCAGTTCAGTACCTCACATATAAAGTAGGTGTTCATAAAAATGTCTGGAATAAATGGATGAATAAACCATTTTTTGAATTTTTTCTTCACTCTTAGAACACAGCAAGATTAGGTTCACCATTAATCTGAAAACATCTTTTTTTTTTTTTTCCAGTTAGATTGGCAGAGCCACTTCATCTCAGCACCTGTTCCTGAGGCAAAATCATAGAAGTCTTTCTAAAATCTCTTGCCAGCTCTTCATGGTGTAACATTCCTAACTTCAATGAGTGCAAAGGACAGAAAGCCAAGGCTGTCTTAATCTGACCCCAGGTTTCCTTTCTTGCTGTAATGTATCTTGAACGGGGCATGAACAAAACCAGTTTCAGGGTGAGGAATGTGTAATTTTGTACACACTGAAGATGGGGACATAGTTTCCTGTACAGAATCCATTTTTTTTCTCTTTCAGAAGTCCTTTAATCCATTTTGGTAAATATCTGTGTGTTTCCCAGGAAGAAAAGCTTGGTCTCCAGGCAGCTTTCAGTTTCTGCCCTGCCTCCGTAGATGGTTTTGGCATTGTCACGGCAAGCATATGGTAAAACTCAATAATATTTGTTGAATTGAATTATCTTGGTGGTAAGGGAAATAAACCCTGTGGACCCCACAGAGCCACAATGGTCAGGAGCTTTGTTTGTGTTTAATCTGCTTTAAACCCTTGGGACTAGAAATAGATGAATAAAAACTGGCCTCAGAAATCCCCTGTTATGTATTTCCCTCATTGTCTTTCCTCACTTTATCTCTAGCCACAATATATATGTGGCTTACCTTATAAGCCACACAATCTTATAAGGTACGAAAATGAAGGTATTTCTGTGGGCTATGTGAAAACCATTCACTTGACCTAGACTTTGATGTCAGTTTCAGGGCTGATCCAATTGCTAATGCATTGTGCACATATACAGCATAGAGAAAATGCACACAGGTCCTCACTATGATTCTTAGGGACAGGCAATGGTGTTCAAATAAACATAAAAGACCAAGAAATCCCATCATGTCTTTTCTTACATAATTCCCTGTATTATGCTGAAAATGATGACCTAGAAGGAAAGGGAAAGATAGGACAACACATCCTTCTTTTTCTTTACTCATCATTAATCATCAGTAAGTAGAAGGGAGAGGTGTTGGTAGAATTGTAACAAGGAGTGACATAAAAACTGTTGAGTTAGTTTTGTACAGCATTTCAACTGTTCTGGTAAAAACAAAATACAAATACATGAGTTGTGAAATACAAATTATATTTTCAGTGACTCTTCATATGAGCAAAATGATTTTCAGTAATTTTAGTGACTCATATGAGCGAAATGTTCTTATATTTGCACTTCAAATTGCCATTGCATGATATAAAGATAAATAGAAAAATTAATGCTAATCATTTAAATTTTTATTTTTTCTTTACTTACAACAAATTAAACAGCAAATTAAAAAACACTATCACGAGTTAAGAGAGAAAACATAGAAGGAAAAAAAAATCCCTTTGGATCTTAGTGCCTTTAACAGCCCTCTTGTTCCTGTCTTTTGAAGGAGAGATTCCAAATTTTCATTTTGCACTGGGCCTGGAAAAATTTTTAGCTAGCCATGATTACTAGACTAATGATGTGAACATTGATTCAACAAAGATTTCCTGAGTGCCCACTAGTACCTAGACTTAAAGAGATAGAGAGATACCTAAAGAGATAGGTAGAGAAGGCCAGCTGAGACTACAAAGTAGAATGTAAGAAGCAGAGCTGGGGAGGCACAGGCCAGTGCCCTTATAGTGAGACCCTGATACAAGCTGGGGAGGCGTCTCATCTTGTTTGGTCCAGGGAGACACTGAGATAAGGCTCCCAAGGATGCTGCCTGAGCAAACCTCCATTTTGTGCAGGTGAAAGCTGTGCTGTGCCTCCTTGCTTGCGACTGGAGTGAGTCACCTTACCTGAGCAATCAGAGTCTTTCACAGGCTGCATGACTTACTCTGGGTTCTTCTCTGCTCATAGGATAGCTTGTATTCATTTGGGAGGAATGTCAGATACCCCCGGTATCAGCTAAAGGATCTAAGATGTGGGCTACTAGCCTGTCTCACTATTTCCTAGTCTGTCCTTACCAGGGGCTGATAGAATTTAGCCCTTAATATTAAGGTCTTAAAAAAGAACAGGATCTTTCTTTCTTGAGTTTAGTGGACAGCCTCCTCTCCTCCCTAATCTTCCACTCCTGGCCATGAGGTAAGATACTCTCACGGCCCAGGTATCCTTCTCTTAGAATGAAAGTAGCTGCTGATAACCATGTCTGTGATTCCTCTTAGACCATGACTTGACAGCTTCTGGACCCACAACTTCAGCAACTTTTAAAAAAAGAAAGTCCAAGGAGTTGAGATGGGCTTTGAAACTTCAACCAAGTAAGGTGAATGTGTACTCATTCTTATTAAGTCTTATCTTACTTAAGCCAAGACAAGACAAGACTTAATAAGAATGGGTACACATTCACCTTAATGGGTTGGTTCTTCTAAGTATTTCTCTTCCATTTCTCCTCAGTGGTCCTTAGCCCCCTGCCCCTCTTCACACCAAAGTTGCTTCATCAGATGTGGGAGCTTATATTGGTTTATACCCTTTTGAGGCCTGGTCATTGCTAGTGAGGGCCTATTTTTATTATTCACTCAACTGTTTTTCTACTAGTGTTACAAGTGAATAAAACTCACTAGTAACGCTATTTAGTAACACTAACTCATTAGTAACACTACTAACCCGAGTTACTGTCATGGAATTCTTGGGGTGTCGCTTCACCAGCCAGAAACCTCTGTGGCCAGTGGTGCCTTTGCCTGAGTTTTGTCTGGGCCCTCTGGACTCATTCTGCCAACTTGGCCTGGCAGGCTGTGCTTGGCTCATGCTCTGACTTGAATCCCATGACTGCCAAGGGTAAACCAGGTGTGGAGTGGCAAGGAGTATGTGAGTGAGCATGGGATGGTCCAGCCACTGTGCACAGGCAGGCACACCAACTGGGGCAGGTTGGGCAGCTCCAGGCACCAGCATAGGTGCTGGCTCCCTGTGAGGCTTTGACTGGACCAAGCATCTTGCAAGCAGCTTCCACAGCTGGCACTGGGGAATGTGGTGATGCCTGGAAGGTTGGATATGCCAAGAGGTGCAGAGCCACAGAGAGGGTGTCATACCCCTGGCTCAGGGAGCCCCTAGGTTTGGGCTCCCCGAAGGGCCACAGCTCTTCTCATCTTCTCTCTCCTCTCCTTCTTGGCATCGCCAAAATGGTGAGCAAGGGGCGTGTTTCAGCCCTGTTTGTGTTACAGCTCTTTTAGCCCTGCCATTTGGCAGGTTCCAAGTTCTTGTCCTGTGTCCAGGAAGAATGAAGTAGGCAGACAAGTGGAGGGTGAGCAAGGTGAAGAGGAGTTTTATTGAGCAGCAGCTCAGAGGAGAACAGCTCAGAGGAGACCCGCAGTGGGTAGCTCCTTTCTGCAATCAGGGTGTCCTGATGAGTGGCCAGCCCTCAGCAGAGGGGGGACCCTGGAATGGGCAGCTCCTCTCTGCAGGCAGGGTGTCCTGATGAGTGTCCAGCTCTCAGCAGAGAGGAGACCCTGGTGTGGGTAGCTCCTCTTTGCAGATGCTTGTCTCATCCTCTGTTTGAGTCTTGCTGAGTTTGGAGCTTTTATGGGCCTCAGAGGGGAAGAAGTGTGTGCCAGTTGGTCCATGAGTGGCCATGGGTGGGCCTGGAAAAAGCACAAGTTCCCACTCCCATTCGTGGGACCAGCAGCCTTGGCCCCCAGGCTTCAGGCCCTCCCTGGCTTGAAGCTGGGGCTTCACCTGGGACCTGTCCCTTTCCACCCAGAAGCCCGTCTGCCTCCTGTTGCCATTCATGGTGTCCAGGTTGTTCATGCCATGGGGCACCTGCAGGCGAGAGCTGAACTGCCCACAGCCTCCTTCCCATGCTTGTTGGGACCCAAATTCACAGGGAGTCTAGGTGGCAGGGGGCTGGCATGGCAGTGCTGCCCTGAGTGTGTGCACACCTGGCTAGGCTGTGACAGCACCTGGGTGTGGCCCCAACCTTGCTCCAAGATTGGAGCTGATGCCAGGAACATGCCAGGCAGCGGGAGCAGATATCTCCGGGCCTTGGGGGTAGGCGGGGTCTTCCCAGGCCCCTAAGAGTGCAGAGATGCCCAGGTCCTCAGCCGTGGCTTAGGTGGCTGCAGCTGCACCAGGAAGGGCGGGGCTCCTGCCTGCTCCCAGCCCCCATTAGCTCTGTGTAGCACACAGCCCTGGCTGCACCTTCCCCACTGTAGCTGGTGTCATAGCAGCAGCTGCTCTAGATGGGCCACTGCTGTCATCGTTACTAGTTGGTTTTATTCACTCAATTATTTGTTCTAGTTAGTGTCACTAGTATTACTAGTTAGTTATAACAGTAACATGTTACTAGTTAGTAACTAGTGTTAGTAGTTACTGTTACTTTTAGTAACACTAGGAACTAAACTTGACAGGGTTTTTTTTTTGCAAAAAAAAAAATACTTTTATATTGCCAAAATGATCTTTTTTTCTTAAAATGGGACTTTCTTGACAAAGTTGTCATTCATTCTGCTTTGCTCATCTCCCAAACTGAGTTAATCACAAAGTGAATTAAACAAAAAGCAGCAACAACCTTGTACAAATGATATTTTTTGGAATAGGGAGATGGTCAAAGCCTCCCGATAAAGCTTCCCCAAAATCCATTGCCTTGTTCATTCCTCTAGTCAGGTAAGCAGTATTTATTGAGGGCTTCTACTTGCTAGGCAGTGAGGTGGGAACTGGCTGTGAACAATGCAAAACATTTAGTTTCAGCCTTTGTGGAGTTCAGCCTAGAGTTTAGTTGGAGGCACATGTTTTTCAGCTGGTCATAAACTTATATAATTACAAACTGTTCTTAGTGTTATGGAGTAAATGTATAAAGACCTGTGATATCACAGAACAGGAAGTCAGACCCAGTTTGGGTAAGAGTTCAGGGAAATTTTTCCTGAGAGTATGATGGGCTGAAGCACTGAGCTGTTGTTGAGAGAGCAACAGCTGTCAACTCTTCATTTACACATTCTTGATTCTTGGGCTCACCTTTTCATCATCTTTCTCTCACACCAGCTCTTGTGGCTGTATTTCTGGCCAGGAATTCTGGAAAGGAGAAAGACTGTCTTGATGTTATAGTCTGTCTTATACACTGATGGGGTTTGAACTTTGCTCTTTCCAGGTGTATTATTAAGAAGGAGAACTTATTTTCTCTGCAGAAGGGCTAGGTTTGATGAGTACATTGAGTGACCCCTGCTACTCCTCATCCATGTATGTGGTAAACATTGCTAATCAATAGAGGCACTTGTTCCTGCTGAGCTTAGATGAACAATTCTTACAAAATGTCTAGATATTTGCTTCCAAATGATTGAAGTTGCAGTGAAGCATGAAGTTCACTTGCTGTTCCACATTTCACATGCCTGCCTTGCTTGGTAAATGGAACCCAATTGGTTCTACGTGAGCTTGAAGAAAGTAGATGCTGTAATGACTTGAGTCTGCCTTTGATTTAAGGTTCATCTAACATTTGGGTCAAGGAAATCTTCTATTCTACATTTGCAAATCAGACTCAGATACTGTTCTGGCCTCCTGGGAGCACACACAGAAGTTATTAAATTAATAGTTTGAATGCTTAGGATAATTGACACCTAATATTTCGCAAATAGATAATAAACACCAATTTAAGCCCTCATCATTATTAATAATATTATTATAAGGGAAGAGTCATCACTCTTAGGAAGAGTGGGAACTACCTGCAAAGATGGAGCAGAGTGAGGAAATGACATATTGTCATGTGACCACTGTCAGATTTTTCTTAGCAACATTTTAACTCCAAGTTCTACTTGTCCTTGAAGCCTTCACCTCTCCCCACCTCCCACTCACACAAAAAGTCATGGAGCACTGGGCCATCTGGCACTCTTTGTCTTATTACTGCCACTGGAGCTGGAGATGCTAAGAATAATGACCATAGCCCCTATCTTTAAGAAGCTTATACTCTAGTGGGGAGGCAGAAAATAAATGAATAGAGTCATCCCATTTTTGCCTTCATGGAACATGCAGGCTGGAAGAGAGAGATATTAAATCTATAAACATATAATTTAAAAATTATATAAGTTCCGGGCCAGGTGCGGTGGCTCATGCCTGTAATCCCAGCACTTTGCGAGGCCGAGGTGGGCGGATCATGAGGTCAAGAGATTGAGACCATCCTGGCTAACATGGTGAAACCCCGTCTCTGCTAAAAATACAAAAAATTAGCCAGGCATGGTGGCAGGCATCTGTAGTCACAGCTACTCAGGAGGCTGAGGCAGGAGAATGGTGTGAACTCGGGGGCGGAGCTTGCAGTGAGCCGAGATGGCACCACTGCACTCCAGCCTGGGTGACAAAGCAAGACTCCATCTCAAAAATATATATATATGTGTGTGTGTGTGTGTGTGTGTATGTATGTATATATGTACACACATATATACACATATATGCACATATATATACATATATACACATACATAAGCATATGTGTATATATACGTTTATATGTGTGTGTGCATATATATATACACACACACGTTCTGTGAAGCTAAGTAACAGGGTAGAAAAAGAGGGAAAAACAGGAAGAGCTAATTTAAAATTCGAGCATTTAGTCAATCAAGACCTCCCTGAGAAAGCAGAATTTAAGCTAACGGTCATCTCATTTTTCTATGAATACATGCTTGGTAGGATGAGGGTTTCTCCGGTTATTTCAATAGTGTATCATACATATACGGCCAAGAACATGCATTCTGATCAATCAGTACAAATCAGCAAACTCACCTGCCTTTGCCTGCTCTTAGTGGAAGAATAGGAATGTTAAGAATGCTGTACTCACAATCTTTGGTAGAGTATCACTCGTCTGTCCTACTTTAACCTTTGTCTTCATATGAAACCAGATGATCAGGAAAGCGTGTAGCTCCCTCCTCTCCACGGATGTGTGTCTGGGATAAACTGCTACTGAATATGCTACGTTGACACTGAATGCTCAGTAATGCTCTCTGGGGAAGGATGGATGGCCTATTGTAATAAAAGAATATATGAATACTTAATTATATTTAAGATACAATTCTGGTTTCATGTCAGAAATGTTTGGTTTATCTGTACATAGAGATACATGCTGATGATACGCACTTCTGTTGGGAATACACATGAATCTGCTGTTGGTGAAGGCCTGTGGCCCGCTCTCGATGCCTGGACATAATAGACACTCAACTCATGCTAGTTTGCCTCTTCTCTCCTCTTTCTTTTAATTTCTCCCTTGTATTCATTTATGCACAATTCTTTTTCCCAGCTACCACCTAATACTTACAGATCCAGAGAGTGGAAAGGGGCTTACAGAGCCATCCAGTCCAAGAGTTTATAAATTGTATTTTGAGGGTTCCCAGGGACCCACGGAAGACTATCCAGGGGATCAGCAGATGGATGGACTGAGTAGTCCTCAATTCCAAATTCCAAAAGTGTCACTTTTGCCCAATAAATTCAACTGGAGCTACATATACGTGTGTGTTAAGAAAACTTCCAGTGCTAAAAAAAAAAAAAAAAAAAAAAAGGTTTGAAGACCATGAATAGTTTCAGTCCTTGTTTTATAGAAGATAAAAATGAGCACCAGAGTGGAGAAATGGCTGTCTCAAGGACACATGACATGTAGAGTCACAACCTAAATCCAGGCCTCCAGGCCCATAAACCAACACATTTAGAGTCTCGTTTATCTTAATATGATCTGCCTCTGGCCTTCACCCCTTCTTGGGAAAAGCTGCCTTTCTACTGGATTTTTGCTCTAGGAACATCACAGTTAAGAATTTCTGATTCTATTCATTTAGGATTGGGTGGATGTAGTTGGTTGGCTTCCCTAAAACACTGCTGAATACAGAAATAATTGAGAAACGCTTTCAGACATAAAATTACTGAAAGTATAGGTAGAGTTGAAATTGAGATTCATCTCAAAAAAGTGTACCGCCACTTGGGGAGAGAATATCAGAAACAGACACTAAGTGAGAAAGACAAATCCTAGAAAGCTGGCTGCAAGAATGGCATAGGAATAGTGGGCAGAAAAGCAGATATGATTTTGCGATGGGATCAGGTAACAGAAAATAAACAGACTGTTTGGGATGGGGCACAAAGGAATGCCAAGTAAAGCACTCAGGGGAGATTGTCCCTCTGTTTTTTGGTAATACTGTTCTTAGAGAAAAGGCTATTCTATTTTGTTAGCTCAGCAGCAAAAAGATAGAGACGAATTGGAGGAAGTTCAGCAGAGCAGTGAATGGGGTGGATAATTAGCTGCTGGGGAAAAAGGTAATAAAATATAATGCTTTTGAGGGGCCGTCATGATAGTTTTCTGTTACAATGCTAGAAACCAGAGATACCAAGTGGGGAGTGAAATTACTTGGGTACACAGAGGTTTAGTGGAAAATGATTGCATATGGTTAAGAATATAAGAAAATAGGTTAAACTTAGGGATGAATTCTAGCAGAGAGGGAATCAATTTATCAGCCAATTAAGTCAGCATGCTAGAAGTAGGAGCAGCTTAATATAAAGTATAAGATACGTATCTTTCCTCATAAACTTTCAGCTGTGGAATGCCTACAGCCAAACCATTCTCTCTCTCACACACTTTTTAGTGAACAATCTTTGTTCTGTCCTGAGGGTATTTGCACCTGCTGTTTCTTATGTCTAGATTTGTCATTGCACACCTTTTCTCCGTCCCACTCAAGGTCTCATGACTGACTTCTCATTGTTATTCAGGTCTCATGTCTCAGCTACAATGTCACCTTCCCTTGTTTTAAATTGAGGCTGGGAGTAGTTAGCAACTTGACAAATATCACACCATGTCTCACTCCACAACCCAAGCCCTCCAGTCTCAATGTTGCTTTACTTAATAAGAAATAGACATTTTAGTTAGAGAAAATATAGTTTAGCTTATACGATGGGAGATCTAGAGGTAGCAGTTTCTCATCTGAAGTCTAGCAAAGGTCAACCAAAAGAAAGAAAATATCTGGTGACCACAAGCCGTCACTTAGGGTATCTTAAAGAAAGCTGTAGGGCAAAAATGGACAGGAGCCTTTAGGAGAGCCACCAGCTTACAGAGTATTCAATGGATGGGCTTTTACCTAAATAATTACAAATAAGATTCCTGCTCACTAAACATCATCAGTCTCTTTTCGGACAATAAACACTAACTGATGGAAGGGTTTATTGATAAAATAAACTCTGAGTACTGCACCATTAAATGAGATGGCATTTATTATTTGTTTTGGAGCCATACATTGAACTAAGTGCTTTACATACTGTATTTCATTTAATCTTGACTACAACCCTATGAGTTAGGTACTATTGTTATGTATCCATTTTACAGATTAGGGAAGTGAGGTTTAAAGGTTAAATGACTTTCTGTCACAGTACTATAAAGTAATGGGAACAAGAGGTGAGCCAGATAGTCTAAAGGTACCACATCTGTAAAAATGCACTGTACCCTCCATCCCTTCCCCTACCTCAAACCCCATATTGACAACCATTTTGTATAAATACAAAATAATAGCAATTATCTACTATTTGCCTACTCTATCTCAGATGCCATACAGATTTTTATATATTTCATTAAATTCTTTACATGTATATCATTTAATATTTACAAAAATGTTAGTGGGTGGGTATTACGGTCACCAGTTAATAGATAAGGAAAAAAGGATGTAAGTTGTTGAGTAGCTTGAGCAGTCTCACAGTGGAAAAGATACATTTGAACCATGCGCTTTTAATTGTCTGATACTTTCTCTATAAAGATATTTTGAGCATCTTGGGGGAGGTATTCAAATCTTAATCTGTAAGAACATAACCACTTTCTTCCACAGCTCCTCTTTGAGGCTCTGAGCCCCCAACACAAGCCTGCCCTCTGACTCTGTGTCCCATGCTTTCCCTCGCTGTACCACAGGGCATGCATGGGTGCTCTTAGAGCAGGCAATGGAATAATGGTTTGTGCTGGAAACAAGAGGCCGGTTTGGCTACTGGAGGCACTTTCAGGCCTTCTACAATGAGCAGAACAGGGTCTCCTGGAATAACGTTTCTTCTGCTCTTATAATTGTTAAGTTCATTTCCTCTGCTTCAGACTTCAGTTCAATCTCTAAGATCTAGCTCACTGATAGCTCACTGCCTGTTTAGAGTAGATACTATCAATGTTTGTTCAGGGAATGGTTGAAGAAACCTATACTCATTTAGGCTTTTTTTCCTTGTTTCTCCAACTGGAATAATTATTTTAATTTCATAAAATTGTTACCCAGAGCTGCCATTTTCCAGTCTCCTAATCCATGAATGTAACTCTTCTCTGAACCCTTCTTAATGTCTCTATTGTGCTCTGTAGTGTCCTTTACTAGAACTAAACATACCACTATTTTGGAGTATAAACAAGTTCAAATGTAATTCTCTATGTATAGGATTTAGGAGAATGGCAAGTCAAAGAGTAAATCGATGGATGATGAATGAATGATAGAAACTACCAGAAAAGTTTTCATCTTAGAATCTGTATTATGCTCTCTTTTCAATTAAAAATATTATTCTATCCCTTCCCCTACCTATGAACCCATATGGCCCCCAGGACGGAAGGATAAGGTAAAGTGTTTACTGACTTTGGTGGAGACCTCCCAGTAAAGAGAAGTGCATCTTTCCAGGGCCTCATATCTGAATTTTTATCTTGCACATCAAAAATATGCTCAATTAAAAGGGATTAATTGGATAAATAATTTTGGAGTTGTTGGACACACCATCTCCCTCTTAAGAGTGTCTCAGTGTACATAAGCATATTTAAGTCCAATAGTAAAGCCCCGTAGTCAGGAGACCTATTTAACTCAGATTGGCTCAGATGTATTTACATACTGCCTATGATCAGCCACTGAAGACACTGGAAAAATTCAATTTTAGAGTAATAGTATTTGAAAAGAACATTTCCCTTTATTTGGATATATGGTGTGATGGTTAATAGTGCTTGTCAACTTGATTAGATTGAAGGGAGCAAAGTACTGTAGCTGGGTGTGTCTGTGAGTGTGTCGCCAAAGGAGATTAACATTTGAGTCAGTGGACTGGGAAAGGCAGACCCACCCTCAATCTGGGTGGGCACCATCTAATCAGCTGCCAGTGTGACCAGAATAAAAGCAAGCAGAAGAACATGGAAAGACTAGACTGGTTTAGTCTTCTGGCCTACATCTTTCTCCCCTGCTAGATGCTTTGTACCCTTGAACATCGGACTCCAAGTTCTTCAGCTTTGGGATTCGGACTGACTTTCTTGCTTTTCAGCTTGCAGGAAGCCTATTGTGGGACCGCACCTTATGATCATGTGAGTCAATATGCCTTAATAAACTCCCCTTTATATATCCATCTATCCTATTAGTTCTGTCCCTCTAGAGAACCCTGAGTAATACATACAGTATCTGAGAATGCAGACTTCCTATACGAAGTTCTACCCAGGTGGTATGTCACTGTTGAGCTGTGGGATTTCAGGCTGGATTCCAATTTGTTCGATTTTTAAAAAAATCATATTGATGTTTTTAAAAATACTCTTCTAATCTTTATAGAAAATCTGTCTCCAATAAATTCATGTAAACCCCTTCAATGTACTTGAATTTTAGCTTGTGCTTCCTTTGGATACAAAGTTTTCCATAAGTTTAGTATTAGTGGTATGAAGTGGTTCTCTGCTTCAATTCATTTGTCTTAAATATACCTATTTCATGATCTAAGAGATGTCTTTTAAATTAAATGAATGAGTTGCCTAAATTATTATTCCATAAATTTATATTACATAATTCTTTTATTAGTTACCATTCATCTTTCTGACTTTAAAAAGATCGAATGTTGCTAGTCAGGTTTTATTTAGCATTTTATCTCTCATTGCCCTGGTTACCTTGAGTGCCGTATTAGTTTACAGGGTTGCCATAATAAATCACTACAAACTGGGCAGTCCAAATAAACAGAAATCTAGTCTATCCCAGTTCTGGACTCTAGAAGTCTGAAGTCAAGCCATCAACAGAGACATG